AAGGGAAATATTGTAATCAAGGCTCCTGGGAAAAAAATAATTGGGAGGAAAAAGAAAAAAAAAATACTGCTGAATAAAAATTAATAAAGGAGAGGAAAGGGGAAAAAATAAATGGGAGAGAGAGGAGACGAAGAGGAGGATAAGAGAAGGGGGTAATAGATTTAGGTATTAACAGAAGAATGTAAGTTTTAATGGATTTGAAGGAAAAAAAGGTCCATGATTTTTTTTTTTATCCTTACGAAGAGAAAATTGGGACTGATATATAACTGTTGAAAAGAATGATAAATTGGTAATTATCTAACGGAAAGAAATGTAATTAAATATGATCAGTAATCAAGGGGACGAGATATAATTTACTTTCTATTTAAAAAAGTTTCTCCAGAAATATTTGTTCCGCCAATCGCAAAAACAACAGACAAACAACAAATTAATAAACAGAAAACAAACAAATTGTTAACATCCCATAGAAAAGAGTTTATCCCTTGCGCCTGTGACCTTTCTCGACAATTCTTATCTTTTGATTTGACCTTCGAAATCAACCTGTGACCTCTTGTGAAGTATAAAATCTAACATTTGAGGGATGAGGTACGGCTGCTGTCATTGTTAGCTTGTGTTGGGTTTTGGTAAGTCTTCCCCTTTCCCCTCTCTCCTTCTCCTTCATTCCCCAACCCCTTCCCCTCCCCCCTCTTGCCATCCTACTCATCCCTCAACCCCTCCCCCCCTCCCTTCCCTTCTCCCTCTCTCCTACTCATCCCCAATTCCTTCCCCCTCCCTCCCCCTCCCCTTTACCCTACCCTACCCTCCCCCTCCTTCCACCCTTCCCCCTCCTCTCCCTCCCTTCCCTTCCATCCCCTCCCCTCCTCGCCTCTTTCCCCATCCCATCCCCTCCCCTCCCCTCTCTCCTGCTCAACCCCTCCCACTACTTTTCCCCCCAACCCCTTCCCTTTTCCCTCCCCTCCTTTCCCTCTCCCCCAACCCCTCCCCTCCTCTTCCCCAACCCTCCCCCTCCTCTTCCCCAACCCCCTCCCCTCCCCTCCCTCCTCCTGCTCAACCCCTTCCCATCCTCTATCCCCTCCCTCTCCTCCCCTCCCCTCCTCATACCCCAACCCTCCCCCTCCTTTTCCCCCAACTCCTTCCCCATCCCCTCCCCCCTCCCCCTCCCCTTCCTTTTTTCCCTCCCCCTCCCCCTCCCCTCCCCTCCCCCTCCCCTTCCCCTCCCCTCCTCTTCCCCCAACCCCTCCCTCCTCTTCCCCCTCCTCTCCCTTCCCCCTCCTCCCCCCTCCCCATCCCCCTCCCCTCCCCTCCCTCCCTCTTCCCCCCTCCCCTCTTCCCCTCTCTCCTCATCTTCCCCCTCCTCTCCCTCTCCTCTCCTCTTTCCCCCAACCCCCTCCCTCCCCTTCCCCCTCCCCTCCCCTCCCCTCCCCTCCCCTCCCCCTCCCCTCCCTGCCCCTCCTCCCCCTCTTCCCCTCCCCTCCCTCCCCCTCCTCCCTCCCTCCCCTTCCCCCTCCTCATCCCTCCCCTCTCCCCTCCCTTCCCCCTCCTCTCCCCTCTCCCCTCCCGCCCACCTGTGTCTCCGGGCGGCGCAGGAGCGAGTGCAGGGCCCCCACGACGCGTCTTCGTCGTACAGCAGCGAGGCCAACGTGACGTCACTCGGGTCGTAGTTTTCATCCTCTACGACTATGATCACGACTGCGGGTTCTTCTTCTTCTTCTTCTTCTTCTTCCTCTTCTTCTTCGTAGTCTGGGATGATTTTCTGTGGGAAGGAGAGAGGGAAAAAGATGTGGTGATTATGGGCGTGGAGGAGAAGGATGCGGAAAAGAAGGGATAGAGAGGGAGAGAAAAGAGATGTAAGATGATGAAGGAGTGCGAAGACGAAGACGAAGGCCGAAAGAAGATACTTTGGAATGTTAGAACGTTTCGTCTCTCCTAATTCGTACCCCCACCCCCTTTATCCAGCTCCCTTTTCCCCTTACTAACACTCTCTCCCTTTACTCGCATCCCCTCTCCCTTACGCATAACCCTCCCATTCCCCCATTATCCACATCTTACAGTTCTCTCCCTCCCCTCTCCCCTGCCAGCCTTACCCACATCTCCTTACCTTACCCACGCACCTTTCCCCTTTACCCACACACCCCTTTCCCCTTACCCACACCGCTTCCCACGCTTGTCACCCACACCAACTTAAAATATCATGTTTAAAGGAGAGAGAATAGTCATCTGTATATGATTTTCCTGGTTGCGGTTGCGTCTCCCTTCTAGGCTACATCTCCCTGCCTCCCCCTTACCCTACCCTCTGCCCTGTTACCCAAGTCTCCTGCCCTCATCCACGCAAAACTCTTTCCTTTACCCTTTACCACAGACCCCCCCCTTCCCATTACCTCCTACCCATATCCGCTTCCCCTTTTCATGCACCGCTCTCACCCTTACCCCCCTCCTTCTTTCTTACCTTCCCTTTGCCTCCCTACTCACACCTACATACCTTCCGCTTGACCACGCCCCC